ATATATATATATATATATATAATTAACAGTAAATCTTCATGATTATTCTAATTTGTTTCAATCCGGTTGCTTAGTATCAGTATTACATGCAAATTCGTTCAAAAGGCAAATTGCGGAGAAACTAAGTACTATAATAGCGATCTAAAGCTGGCGCTTCTGACCTCGTGCTTCAGTATCAATTTGACGAGTTCGCACGAACTGTTCATAAAATATAATTATTTTCACGTCACCGCCACGCAAACAGTTCGCCATATTGCGAGCGTGTCCGTCCCATTGGGCCTAATAAGTAATTGAACGCGCACGACAGGAAACAGAATTGACCTCATTGACCGCTCGGATCATGATGAATTTATTCGCACTTATTTTTAATCCCATTATCATTGCGGCTAGAAAGAAAGTGACATGGCGAGAGTAAAGCGATCATTTCGCGAAAGCCATATATACTGTCGACAATTAGGCTACAATCGGCGAGTAAACGCCGGCGCTTTCTAGATGAGCATATCAGCCGCAACAACGGCCAAATCATTCAAACGACCCGTAGATTTTAATGAGCATAATGCACACTTCCGCTACGGGGACAGAGCGTAAGTCCGGTTGATCGGTATATGAGTTTTATCCATAGTTAAGAATGCTTAAGATTGCTCGATACTATCGATATAGCGGAATTTTATCTACGAATTTCTTGTTGAAACTTTGTGCACTATATCAATATTTCGATAAACACTATTACAATGTTTAAAGAATTAAACTCTTTTTGTCCCTGATATGAAACTATTATTTAATTTGGAAATACAATATATAATTTCGCAATCTCAAGTTTTAAGATTAAAGAACTATTTCTAATAAGAATATTTATCAAGAAATATTCTTTTATAATTTACTGTTAAAACAAATTTTAAATAAATATTGTAATATTTTTTACATATATTTTAATCAAGTAGTGCTCTAGAAAAATTAAGTGACAATTAGTAATGATTCTTGAAAATAAATATATATATATACATAGATTTGATAAAAGAATACAATATTAATATTAATATCTTGTAATTGCGCAGTGAGAAAACTTACAGAAGTAGTAAGTTTAACTTTTAATTAAACATATAGATTTATAAAATATTCTTGTCAAAAAGAAGTAATTAAAAAAAAAAAGATTATGAAACTCTTTCGAAAGTGTTAAAATAGTACAAAATATTACACAAACAAAATTGAAAATAAATAATTGCAAATAAATATATCAATATTTAAATAGTTGTTGACAAAAGAGTAAAATGTACTACATATTACAAATTCACACCAACAGATAAAACGATTGTGAAAATCGTCAAAAAATAGAATGATAAATTATTCGTTAAAATAATAAATTATTCATTGGAATGATTAAATTTTCTAATCAAATTATTTAATCAAATATTTAGTATATTATGTTCATAAATATTTCGGACATACCTCAACGATGAATTAAAAACTGAGATATCCACTTCATCTCTTTTATCGCATCGATATTTTCTTTGAATAATTCATCAAGTAAAGCGACGAAAAAGCGGGAATCAGCTATTGGACAAATGCAGTAGAAGAACCCTTACCTAGAAGAGCGATTAAGCAAAAGAGACGCATTGCAGGGAACCACCTGGGATCGTAATGGGTGACACACGAGCGCGATGACGACGAGTATACGACTGATGAACGCAACGCAAATCTAACTGGATAACCCCGAGATTACACTAGAAGCTATCGCATGAGATTTAGCGTATACACAGATCCGTCAAGTCACAGTGTGCAATGCAAACTATCAATGGACTGATCGACCATTTGATTACACTATTCGACAAAAACAAAATGGATGTCAAAACGAAAAACTAATTTCCGTAGATTTTTTGGATGTTGAATACGAATATAACTTCCAAATTATTCCATCATATCACAATTTTGAGAAATTTACAGTTACAAAAAGGAATTTTTTCTTTTACATATTTGCCATATTATACTACAATGTACATGCTGAAGAAGTTTTGACAATGAAAATGAATGTTGATAGGACATTCAATTCTTAAAAAGATTTTTTAGTGTCAGCTAAATAAGACACTTATAGTTAAATATGGGGTTAATTATGGAAAAAATGAATCAAGTTATTAATTGATTATTTATCTAATAATTTTCAATTATATTTAACATTATTAGTTAAACATAATTCTGATAACACAAAAAAATTTAGTCGTATGTCACCTCTATTCTGAGTTCATTTTCAGATGCGAAAAGCATATTCTTTTTAGAAAAAAAAGGAATTTTTCTGTTCAAAAAAAGAAATCTTTTGTATCCGAATGAATTCTAAATTGATGACACAACAACTACATTCTTTTAAACTCTCTTAAATTCTTTTTAAACTCTCCGGGCTGGAAAGTTTTTTGAGCCGAATCTGATGTCAAAATTGACAAATTTAAAATCATAAAAGACATTTATATATTTTGTAACAATCCGAATATTTTTCAAATGTTAACATCGTCTATATTGAATTCACCAATTTCAATTTGTCAATTTTCGTATTCAATGATTAAAAAATTCTTAAGTTTAAATAAATATAATTAAAAACTATTTGCTATATAAATTATCAATGACATAAGTAACTTAGTTTTTCCATAATAAATTACGTATTTAATTATAAATATCTTATTAAACACAACATTAAAAGATTCTTTCGAAGGCTGGAAGTCCTAACAACATACTTAATTTTAAAAAAATAATATGTTAAATAATTTATTATAATTAATTTTTTAATTCTTTAATTTTTTAATTCTTAAATAAAATAAATCTTTCCCAATACCATATATCGTAGTTATAATATAATAAAATTAAAAAGTACGAAAATAAAATATGTAAAAATAATCCTTTTTTGCAAATTTTTCAAAATTATGGCGTGATAAAATAATTTGGAAAACTCATTCATATTCAGCATCCAAAAACATTAAAATACGAAGAATGATTATTTTGATTTGGTGTTTAAAATAAAAGTCATTTTTTGAATAATGTTATCAGCGCATTGTATAATATGATAGTGTAATAAGAAATAAATGCATATTTTCTTCTTTCTATCAATACTATTTTTATGCATACTATTTTTGTGCAAATAATGGAATACGTTTATCTGTATTAAATGATCGCGATTTAAGCGAATGATGCGGAGTGATTCATGCAATTTACATTAACTGATTGAATGAATACACTTTTATATATCAATTGTTGCTAAGGATGATGCATTTTTTAAAAAAATTAAAATGATAGAATTAACGGTTACAGATTTCTATTTTTATTTTGTTTTTATAATTGCGACTTCTTATAACTTTTTTTCTCCAAAACTATGTATTTGTTTTATGTTAAATGCAAGAAGTAATTAAATACATTAAAATGATTTTTTTACAATAATTTGATGAGTAATTAATATTTATAACATAATTAAAATTTGTAAAACGCAAACGAGAAAAGTGCATTTCTATTGCCGATGTAAAGTTACACCGTCATCGAGCGGTAGCTAGAGCGATCAACTGAGTAAATTTAAATTCGCGAACAAAGCATGGTCCAAATTTTAAATTTAGATACGCGGTTTATGCGTTCATCAACCAATAGACCAAAGTAGATGAGCAGTTAAGTATAAGCGCAGCTATCGTCATTATTATATTGTATCTTATTATATTGTTCAAAATATTATCATTATTATATTGTTCAAAATAAGTTATCATTAGTCGCTTATACATAAGCATTTTCAGAAACGTCTATCTGATAAAAAAAGTCTAACTGTATAAGCATAATATATCCTTTTATTTCGAAAAAAGTATAATAAAGAAATAAATTCTTGAAAAAAGCTAGTTTCTATTGATTTTTAAAATAATATAATAAATAAGAATTTTCAGTTTAAAATAAATATTACAATTAAAAGTACAATAAGCAAGAAAATTCTAGTGGCTTAATATATAAAAGTTTTATAGAATGTAATTATGTTTTTTCAGATATTTGGAGAACACTCAAAAAAAATATTCTGCCGATAAGCGGGGAATTCCTCTTAGCATTTTCTTTAGCAAAAAATCTTGCATTAATCAAGTACATGTATTTATAACATGTATTCATTTATAAAAATTAGGAAACATGAGCTATGATCAAAAATAAATTCCTCTAAAAAAAATTCTATTATGATATTCAAGCGTTTCAAAATAAAAGAATATACAAAATATTAGCGACACGCTTATTTGTTAGAAGAAGTTTGTCATTATTTTACGTGCCATAATGTCAATACGCATGTAAGACATTCTTTTAGTATTAAGAGGATTGCAATTCTAAATCCAGTACTTTATAGTTATACAAAATTCCATTATTTTGTAGAGTATCCTCTTGAGGTCATATATAAATGGAAAATCCTCTGACATTAACACGGAACCGCTAAATGGTAGAATTTTTTTGGGGGGTGAAACAAAATAAAAACAAAAAATTAAAAAATTAAATATTTAATTTTTAAGAGCAATAAGAAAATTAGTACCAATATAAAAACTAATAAATAATTTGATAATTTAAACAAGATTTTGTGCTGCTTTAAAAGTATAAGACTAATAATTAATTTTTGTATGCATTAATCTTTCTTTTTTCTTTTTTACAAAAAGAAATAATAATTTAATTACTTTTATTCATTTATTCTATTCTATACTTTTTCCTCTTATGTTTAATATTTGAAATATTTCATATTAATTTCCGCGTTTAAAAGTTAAACTGTCATAGTGCTTTTCTAAAAACCGATAATAATCAAGATATAAAGGAATGACACTTTATCAAAAAATAGAAAACATTTTACCTGTGCAAAGCAATATTAATGTAACTATCAGCAATTAATCTGAATCCATTTTTATGTCCACCTGTTATTTTGTCGAAACACAATTTGAATGCCAATCATCATCGCTCGACTGATCTACCTGGCAGATTCTTTGTCGAGAGACTAATGTATCCAACTTCCGCATTATTAAAACTATATGAAACTGCAGTCTTGATCAGTCAATTAGAGGATCGCGAATGCGCTTAAATAAATTTTCACAAATCTAGCATTTTATATAAAAAAACAAGAAAAAACAAATAGAAATTTAAAAAATAATCTCGTTTAAGATCGTATATTTCCTTCCATTGTGTGCAATTAAAACTTATCAAGAAATTTTTAATTGTTTCGAATATTATTCAAATCCAACGATAACTACAAATCTCCTTAAGATAATTACAAACGAAATCATTTAAAAATCTTTTCTAATTGTAAAAAATCTACTATTCACTCAAAAACAATAAGTCGAAATCAATGACTAAAAATTCACCTTTCTGTTTTTGAAATTATAAATGTTCTTATGTTAGAATTCATTCTCTCTCTCTCTCTCTCTCTCTCTCTCTTTTTCTCTCCCTCTCTCTCTCTCTTTCCCTTCATCTCTCCCGCTCTTCCCCTTTTCTCTCTCCCGCCTCTTCCCCTTTCCTCCATCTCTCTCCTCCCTCTCTCTCGCTCGATATCACTCCTTTCTCTCTCCCGCTCCTCTCCTCTTC